CTACGCCTTCTGTATCAACGGCGGTGTTAAAATCTACTACAAACACCTAAACGGCGGTGTTTAAATCTACTACAAACACATACACCTTCTATATCAACGGCGGTGTTTAAATCTACTACAAACACCTAAGAATTCTGTGTCAACGCTAGTGTTTAAATCTACTACAAACACATACACCTTCTATATCAACGGCGGTGTTTAAATCTACTACAAACACCTACGCCTTCTATATAAACGGCGGTGTTTAAATCTACTACAAACACCTACACCTTCTATATAAACGGCGGTGTTTAAATCTACTACAAACACCTACACCTTCTATATAAACGGCGGTGTTTAAATCTACTACAAACACCTACGCCTTCTATATAAACGGCGGTGTTGAAATCTACTACAAACACATACGCCTACTATATCAACGGCGGTGTTTAAATCTACTACAAACACTTACGTCTTCTATATCAACGGTAGTGTTTAAATCTACTACAAACACCTACGCCTTCTATATATACTATGGTGTTTAAATCTACTACAAACACCTACACCATCTATATAAACGGTGGTGTTTAAATCTACTACAAACACCTACCCACACCTTCTATATAAACGGCGGTGTTTAAATCTACTACAAACACCTACGCCTTCTATATAAACGGCGGTGTTTAAATCTACTACAAACACCTACGCCTTCTATATAAACGGCGGTGTTTAAATCTACTACAAACACCTACGCCTTCTATATAAACGGCGGTGTTTAAATCTACTACAAACACCTACGCCTTCTATATAAACGGCGGTGTTTAAATCTACTACAAACACCTACGCCTTCTATATAAACGGCGGTGTTTAAATCTACTACAAAACACCTACACCTTCTATATCAACGGCGGTGTTTAAATCTACTACAAAACACCTACGCCTTCTATATAAACGGCGGTGTTTAAATCTACTACAAACACCTACGCCTTCTATATAAACGGCGGTGTTTAAATCTACTACAAACACCTACGCCTTCTATATATACTATGGTGTTTAAATCTACTACAAACACCTACGCCTTCTATATAAACGGCGGTGTTTAAATCTACTACAAACACCTACGCCTTCTATATAAACGGCGGTGTTTAAATCTTCTACAAACACCTACACCTTCTATATCAACGGCGGTGTTTAAATCTATTACAAACACCTACGCCTTCTAAATAAACGGTGGTATTTATTCTACAAATTTCACACCAGAAAAAAAACCTGATATAAACGGCGATGTTTAAATTACAGATACCGGAGAATATTTTTTACATTTTTTAACAAAGGAATAGTAAGGATGACTCACGTAAACTCTCAATATGACGACTGTTTGAAGCTATTCAGGTGCTATATATACATTGTACATAAAGCCTAATTTTCGTTTAAGACCCGAAAGATTTATGCTCTGATAAATGACTATGTAAATTTTTTACCCTTCAGTATACTAGCAAATATTTTTATCTAGCCGTTTATCAAAGGAATGGCAAAAATAAATATACATACGATTAGTTTATACATATTTTATAGCCAAAGTAAGCAAAAGAATTGGGTACAACTTACAACAACATTATTAATGTGTTTATACCTGAATACATACGATTTAGATAATGTGTGATATGTTAACTCTTCAGGTTCAGTTGATAATTTCAAACTTACTGATCGATGACGACATACTTCATGTTTTAGCCCTCTATAAATGGAAGTTAATCTCGATCTTAACATACAACGTAGACACCCGGGACAGCTGTCAAGGATTTTTTTTTTAATCGTGAATACTTCCATGTTCTTACTTAATTTTCTATTGCTCGATTGTAACAAGTTGCTTCCCTAAGGAATGGTGTTTATATGTCAAAGCTGGGTGGTCGGATGACGCAGTGGTAACGCTCTCGCCTTTCGCCTAGCCGTCCGTGGTTCGATTCCCGACACGGACGTGAATAGGTAAGGGGTCACCTGCCCAACCACGTGGGTTTCCCCCGGGTACTCCGGTTTCCTTCCACAGTGAAAATTAAGATGTTATTTTCTATGACATTCATGGATATTAATTCACTTTGTTTAAAGTATTGCTTTGTTAAAAACTACAACTTGATAGACATGGACTTAATCAGAATGACTTTCTGAATCTTTGAGTTTAAACGAGATTGAACATTATTAAGAGTATTCCATTGTATCCGGATATATTTTTGGCTTGCTAATTATGTATTATTGTTTATCAATACATGTCTTAAAATGATACTCGGTTTGTAATTACTAATTGTTATTGGCTCAATAATGTTTGCAAAGGTATACTAGTAGCCTACGATTCTGGGTGCGCGGTGGCCATTTTGGATGAAATTTTGAAACTTGGCACGTTGATCATGCATATATAACTTAAATCTTATGATCCCATAAGCTTCCTAGTCTCAAAAACATATATTTGGATATTTAATTTGTAATTGTAACATATATACTTGCGAAGATATCGCATTTTTGGTGTGCGCCAGCGATTTGGACGCCATCTTGGATTTTAACCCCTTAGAATGTACAGAAAAAATGCCAGCCTAATCTTTTTTTAAAGCTTATGATACCTTCTTTCAAAATCACGTGAGTTTTTGCTTTTATCAAAATAAAATACACGAAATTACAAATGAGCCTAAACTAAATGGCTTAGGTAAAGTCTGTATATAGGTTATACACATAAGATATCCTTAAAGTCAGTCATGGTCAACTGATCGATCACGCCACGTTTCGGGTATAGAGAGGTGAAATCTGTTTGTCTAGTACAATTTATGACCAATGTCCAATGGGTGTTTACGTTTGAACAGGGGTGTCTGGTTTTCTGACTTAGATATGACAAATCTAGGCTATCTTTACGCTCAGACTGTTCAAACAAGTGTATCAATCACGCCACGCTGTTCCAGCAAATGTATCTAAAATCAGACTTCGTAATTTGTCAGGGGTCATCGAATAAATGATGCTTATTTGTGGGTCTTCGTTATTGGAACTCAAACTCTGGCAAAATATAAAACAAAGAAATATCCCCAGTAATGTATGATTTTCACTTTCTAATTAACAAACTATTCAGGTATATATGTGATCCACATCAATGTACTAAGTGCACACGTTATATAAATAGGTCACATCCAGGTAGACAAAGACCGACAAGATCGATCAGCTGATCCACCTTTCAATCACTGGTCTATTTATAGCTTCTATTTAAACCGAAATTTAAATCACAAACATTGAGCAATAGATATTTCATTTATGAGTCATCTTATTTATATACGTTTTGGAACGTCTTGACGTAGCTATAGATTTTTAGGGCATACAAAATTATTCAAACGTAAATGATGTAACTGGGTTGCTAGGTAGGTTATTGTACGTCATTCTTCAATTGAATTTTAACTAATGTAGAGTTGACCAAGTTTGGAATTTACACTTTCGTAAGCATAACATAAATCATATGGTATAGTTTATTACCAACAGGAAATACCAGTGTCATATTTTATACACAACTAAGAACATTATTGAAAAGTATTTTCGGATCGAGTCAGAAAGCAAACCAGTTGGCCCCGACCTTTCGTAGGTTTTATAAATAACTTCTATTGTGTATTTGTCTTACATAGTATTGAATTTTCTATATATGTTATTGGTAGTCAGATTACTTAATATAGATTTCACATTGATAAACAATATAAAACTATACGAGAAACTGGTTTACAGATTGATAAACAATATAAAACTACACGAGAGACTGGTTTACAGATTGATAAACCATATAAGACTACACGAGAGACTGGTTTACAGATTGATAAACCATATAAGACTACACGAGAGACTGGTTTACAGATTGATAAACCATATAAGACTACACGAGAGACTGGTTTACAGATTGATAAACCATATAAGACTACACGAGAGACTGGTTTACAGATTGCGGTAATTGGCTGATGATTATTCATGTTTCAGTGATTGTTTACTACTCAAACTTTTTATCAATTTCCTTTCATTCTTATCAAAACATATTGAATTCCTTCTAAACAGGCCAGCATTTTATATAATATAAATATAATATTGATATCAGGAATGAATGATGAATTATTGAAAAGCTTTACATTCGTGGTGAATCCCCCTCTTCTGCCTGACATATATTTCGAATTTGAAATGTACCTAGCCAATCCTCTCCATTACAATGTTGACATTCTTTTCGTGTCCTAGGATTAATCATAATTATGCTTAACAGAGATTTTTTTCAAGCCACGTTTGATTTTATTGTTACACTTTGAACGTGTATATCCTGATTATTGAAATATTAAAAAGTTATTTATGACCCTTCTGAATTTATACTCAAATAATTACGATACAGACAGTATACGTCTAGTGTTAGAATGAATGTTTTTCGACAATTCTCTCCCACATACCTGGCCCCACTTGTATAAAACATCTCAACTTGAGATTTCCTCAAGCCCAGATTTTCCTCAGCTAATATCTCCTTGAAAATATCTTGTATGAAAATTCCTCAAGGAATTTCAGGACATCCTAGCCGACGCCTTCCTCCTGTTCCCTGAGAAAATTTTATACAAGCCGTTTTTGAGGAGATATCAGTTTAGGAAAGTCTCGACTTGAGGAAATCTCAAGTTGAGATGTTTTATACAAGTGGGGCCTGGTGGCTTACAGATTTGTAGCCACCTCTGTATAAGATCACACTTCTATCGCTATTAGTAGTATCGCTTAAATAGAACTGTTACTGGATATTAGCCAATCAGTTAATTTTGTTTTTAATTTCTCTACAGATACAGCAGAGGTCTTCGGTCCACTAGGAAGATTGCCCATTAACGTCAACATTCAAAATTTTATGACTCCTGCTAGTGTCTTGAATGAAAAACCAAATATTATGTTTTTCATTTATAAAAATTCCCGACAAATGCTTGAGGAAAACGTTGTAGGAAGACTGCTTCAATTATAACTAAAAGTTTGATTTACGAACTTGCCTCAAAATGCCTTTCATAAACTGGTTGTGTGGTTCTAGTAAAGACGATGGAGACTTGGAGCCAAACTGCAGGCCTGTTAAAAAAGAAAGAACAGGAAAGACTCATAATGACAAAAAGAAGCAAAAGAAAGAAAAAGAGAAAAACAATCGAATACCAAATACCTGTAAGCTTGTTTCTGATGGAACTCTGCTGACGTCACCAGGTCCTTATACACAACAACTGATAGATCTTATACCTGATTCTGATCTTAAAGAAAAGTTTCTCAAATTGCAAAATGAAAGTATCCAGGAACAAAAGGACAGACAATGCAAAGATTTGCAAATAAGGAGAGAGCTAGAAGAAGTTAGACAAAGATGTTATAGGTCAGAGGAGATGGAGCTTCGCTTACAGAATGTCGTGAAAGAGCAAAGTAAGGAAATTGACACTTTAACACAGAGACTTCAGGACTGTAAGGAGGAGTGCGAGTCTATCAAACAGGACCTACAAGTAGCTAGAAATAGCACTAATCGATTGGAATTATTGGTATGTATTTATGATGCAATAAGCCAATGTCTTGTTCGTGTTTTTTTTACTATCTATCTATCACACCAGCTTAAAACCTACCTTATTTGTTATTTGTTATATTTCATAATTATCCGTACAATTCCACAACCCTGTGATATAAATCATTATACTCTAAAGCTGTCAGTTGTAAATATCCGAGGTTATTTCCATGAAAACATTTGAATTTTTTAGGTAAGCAGTCTCCAAGATAAACCCATTATTTCTAAACATCGTGAAGATTCCACCAATGGCCAGCTTGTAGAAGCAGTGGGAACACTTGTACAGTTACCAAGGAAACGCGGGGAAGAAAACCTGGAGATTCCCGACGACGTTGATGGAGCTGTAGAAGAGGTCAAAGCCGCTATGCGTTTGCTTGAAAATTTCATAGGTTAGTATATCGCTCTGAATTGATTGCCTCAGAGGGCTGCTAGAGGAGAGGATCGACTTTTTATCAGATCAATCTAATGGTGCTTAGATTAGATATATAAGCAAATCTTTATGAAAAATACACAAGTGAATAACACCTCCTGAGTCCGAATTCTTTTCGTCATTGTAGGGCCTAGATGGCAAGAGTTCGCCCGTCAAATTGACCTACCTCAGGAAATCATAGAAAGGAACGAGACTGAGCAGCGCCACACAGAAATCTACTGGAAAATCATGTCAGCATGGCAGAAAAGAGAGGACGTCACTGTCACAAAAATTGCTACAGTCTGTCAACAGCTCAAAATAAATATCGGATCAGGTATATATGATTGTTTTTATTTTCAAAAAAAAAAAAAAAAACGAGAGAAAAAAAAAAGGAAAAATATGTATACCATAATTTGCACACCGAGGAGAAAGATTGTGGATATAAACGTAGGGGTTAAACGGAGCCTAGTTGTTTTAAAAGCGAATTGTTTGACTACAGTGTAATTCTAGACTGAAACAATTTAATATTTCTATTGTGTGCGTACTAAGGAAAACATGCATTTATATATTTGAAAAAAATTGTCTCAAAATTTTGTAGAAATATTTTTTAAAAGAAATCAGATATTTTCATGTTTCGCTAAACATTCGTTGATGTTTTCTACATATGACATTTCTAGTAATTTACATTTACACAATAAACGTTGACTGTCTTTAAGGGACAAGACATGGTTCCACTCTTGAAAGTTATAATAGTTTATAACATTTAACATGCTATTTTTATTTTATATGTGACAAAAATACTGCTACATGTATTTCTTTTCACTAATTAAATTCCTCAACAGTTCATCATTAAAGTGGCTTTTCTTCTGAATAGGCACATATTGCATAGTCATTGGTCTTCTTACATAGACAAGCCGATGTCAGGCCAACACAGACGTACACTCGACAAAAACCGTGAGAAAATTGTTGAACAAGTCTGGCCGAAACCAATGCTGACTCACATGATGAAGTATCTGCCAATACCCACCAGTCTCAGAGAATACGTGACGTCAGCTGATAGACAATCTGTGATGGTGGAAAGACTACTGGACATACTGCCAGTTCTAGGGGATCATGCCTTCCCAGTCTTCTTTCTCGCACTAACCAACACGAACCACCAGCACGTAGCAGATCTACTCATGGGTATTCTATCAATTATATACAAACAAATTTTCAATCTATATAAGAAGTAAGGTTATAAAAAGTGATTTCCTTTCCTATTGGTTAAGATATTGTTCATGAATTATTTCCAGTGTGAACAGTAGAAGTTATCTCAGTGACATAGAGGATGACTATGTACTTTATTCTTGATTGTAGAAAACCCGATGCCCGAGGAACACATACTAATTCTGCGCAAGTTTGAAAACGTCCTGGTGAGCTGTAGGTAAGATAAAAGATATTAGTGAACCACCAGATCTGTCACTGTGGTGAGCTGTAGGTAAGATAAAAGATATTGGTGAACCACCAGACCTGTCACTGTGGTGAGCTATAGGTAAGATAAAAGATATTGGTGAACCACCAGACCTGTCACTGTGGTGAGCTGTAGGTAAGATAAAAGATTTTAGTGAACCACTAGATCTGTCACTGTGGTGAGCTATAGGTAAGATAAAAGATATTAATGTGCCACCAGACCTCTCACTGTGTTGTGAAAGTATTTTATAATCTTGTTTGACATTTATGATCGCTACACTGTTCCTGCAAAGCTGTCATTTATAATGCTATAAGTGCCATAGCAAGACAGTTTATCGCTTATTTGAAGTCATGGTGGTAAGGTAGTAGTATTACATAGGAGCTGTTACAATGACGTGTTACTGAAAGACTATCAATACAGAAATATGTGGTATAATCCTTGTACTAGATCTGTTTCTGTTTAGTGATTCTCATCGAGTGGTACCATGCATGGCCAAGTACGTGACCATTCCTGGCTGTATCCATGGCTACCTGATGGAAGCTCTTACTAGAGAAAGTAAAATGCGACGTCTGTTGGAAATATTACCTTGTTTCGGACACGGTGCTATGGACGCCTTAATTAAGGCACTAAGTGACACGGGGTTTAAACAAGTAGTCTCCATCCTCAAAGGTACGTATAACAGTTGGTGCAGTCCCAATGTAGTTCGATTCCTTACTTACGTGCATTTAGTAGAAGTTTATAAAACGAATCTCTATTTTTTTTTTCATAAATATGTTGTTGTTTTTGTTATTGTATTATGTAATTGTGAAACTACCTTATCGTGAACTTTACAAATGACCAAAATTTTTGAAATTGTAAATTCAATGAACGTCTTTTGATTTAAAATTCACATTTAGAAATTTTGAATCGTGTTTCATTTTTTTTTCTGGCATCAAATTATTATTGCTGAGTATAGTTATAGGTATTACAGCAACTTCATTAATTTCTGACATAGACAAGACTGGAGAACTACAAAAGTTGACTAAGAAGGAAACTTCCACACAGATGTCTCCAGAAGACGTGTGCGTTTTAGCCCAGGAACACAAAGCCCCCCTGACAGGTCATCGACGTTCTGCAAAGTGTAGATCCGATTCTGCCGACAATAGCAACACAAGCAATGACGATCTCCTTTTGATGGACGACTACTATTCACAGGAAATGATGACTAAGGAGATGGAGGCCAATGCGGCCATGTTTGAACACAGCATAGAACAACAGGTTGAAATGAATTTCGAATGCCAAAAGCAGATAGAGTTTCTGAACTGTATGGACAAATTGCAAGTCCATTACAAAGCACGTGTAACTGAATAGGAGCCCATTCCTTTTAGGCAAAACGACCTTATCTCGTAATCTTCCAAGCTGCAACCGATAAAAATGTACTTAGAATTTGTGTTGTTAATGACGAACCGTTGTGTTGAAAATACTTTTTTTCTTCTAAAACAAAACTTGTGGTTAGGTTCAATACGAGATACGAAATCATATTCATGGGAAAATACTGTTTTCTGAAACATTGTGTAAATATCAGAGTAATACTTATTACTAAGTATATGTAATTAAGTGATTGGTGAAGGTTTCCAATGTTTTCTGTTGTACGTGATATACAAGGACAAATTACTGAATTTCTGTGATGTTTCATAACAATAGTGGAGTATGTTTTCTATTGTTAATACTGTCTGTCTCTAATAAGAAAAGTATGACATATTATAGAAGATAATTACTGTAGCATGTCACTATATGATATCAACATGGTGTGTTTACAGTGATAACACTGTCTGTCTCTGACAATAGAAAGATACCATATTATTCCAAGGATCTCGTTTTCTACTTTTATCAAATATACTCAATTCTCATGTATGATGTCCATTGCATATATTGATTCACAAAACAGAGATATACTCTTCATCAAAAAGAAATATGGATAAATTTTGTAACTTCTAGCTGTACATGTTTTTATATGTTTTTTTTTATAATGCAAAAACACCAGAAAATAACAACCTGTGAATAAAATAATCCAAACTAATAAAACTAATAAAGAGAAAGATTTACATGGAAACCCCTGAAAAGTACAAGTAGAATGAAACCAGACGTTCCGGAAGAGTAAGCATCTTCTTACCATATAGATCTTTGACAATGTCAGTTAATGATGTCACGTTCTCGAATGAGAACATGGTATATAACAACGGAAACAACAGGTAACCTAACGAGCATCAAACACATGCAGCTCCATAGCGCACAAAGAAATAGAACATTTCTCAGTGAGATCACTATGACTTTTGATAAAGATATCCGAGAGAAGAAGGATATGTCCATGATAACTGTATTTCATCTACTTTTTCACGAAGTGGAGATTTCGTTTTCGTATTTTTTCGGTAGTTGGTATTTCTATGTAGAAAACTTCGCTTAAATGATATGTAGATGAAGCGAATGAGATAGATCTTGGCATATTATTGAACTATATCGTTTTTAACTCGTACTACTCTGTAGCTCATTACTTTTGCTTCAGGATCAAACTTGGGAAGAAATTTTGTCCGTACGTCGTGTGTTTTTACCAAAGGTCAAGTTTTCCGGACTTTTTTCGGTTATGTTTTGAGTTATCAAAATGAAATTTAGTATATAGGTTCTTGTTGGAAGGGTACAGATTAAGTTCGATTTCCGGATGTCTGTGACCCTTCTTGGCAGAGTTATACCCCTATGAACTTAGAAAATTCTCTGGAAATATTGTTTTCTGGACTTTCTTTGGTTATGCTTTTGAGTTAAACAAAATGAAAATTGTTAATAGCTTCTTGTTGGAAGGGTACAGATTAGTTTTGACACCCAGTTCGATTTCTGGGTAACCGTGACATTTTATGCAGGTGACACATACAGTTCCGAGGAACTCTTGTTCCTAATTGATATCTTTTCTTTCTTTGTGTGATATGAAGCTGGACGTGTTTGATGAGCGTTAGTTTGCATGTTGGATCCGTTGTGTGATATGTAGCTGGACGTGTTTGATAATCGTTAGTTTCCATGTTGGATCCGTTGTACGATATGTAGCTGGACGTGTTTGATGATCGTTAGTTTCCATGTTGGATCCGTTGTGTGATATGTAGCTGGACGTGTTTGATAATCGTTAGTTTCCATGTTGGATCCGTTGTACGATATGAAGCTGGACGTGTTTGATAATCGTTAGTTTCCATGTTGGATCCGTTGTACGATATGAAGCTGGACGTGTTTGATGATCGTTAGTTTCCATGTTGGATCCGTTGTACGATATGTAGCTGGACGTGTTTGATGCTCGTTAGTTTCCATGTTGGATCCGTTGTACGATATGAAGCTGGACGTGTTTGATAATCGTTAGTTTCCATGTTGATTCCGTTGTACGATATGAAGCTGGACGTGTTTGATGCTCGTTAGTTTCCATGTTGGATCCGTTGTACGATATGAAGCTGGACGTGTTTGATGATCGTTAGTTTCCATGTTGGTGCCGTTGTGTGATATGTAGCTGGACGTGTTTGATGATCGTTAGTTTCCATGTTGGATCCGTTGTACGATATGTAGCTGGACGTGTTTGATGATCGTTAGTTTCCATGTTGGATCCGTTGTGTGATATGTAGCTGGACGTGTTTGATGATCGTTAGTTTCCATGTTGGATCCGTTGTACGATATGTAGCTGGACGTGTTTGATGATCGTTAGTTTCCATGTTGGATCCGTTGTGTGATATGTAGCTGGACGTGTTTGATGATCGTTAGTTTCCATGTTGGATCCGTTGTACGATATGAAGCTGGACGTGTTTGATGATCGTTAGTTTGTCTGTTGATTCCGTTGTACGATATGAAGCTGGACGTGTTTGATGATCGTTAGTTTCCATGTTGGATCCGTTGTACGATATGAAGCTGGACGTGTTTGATGATCGTTAGTTTGTCTGTTGATTCCGTTGTACGATATGAAGCTGGACGTGTTTGATGATCGTTAGTTTGTCTGTTGGTTCCGTTGTACGATATGAAGCTGGACGTGTTTGATGCTCGTTAGTTTCCATGTTGGTGCCGTTGTGTGATATGTAGCTGGACGTGTTTGATGATCGTTAGTTTCCATGTTGGATCCGTTGTGTGATATGAAGCTGGACGTGTTTGATGATCGTTAGTTTTTCAGTTGGTTCCGTTGTGTGATATGAAGCTGGACGTGTTTGATGATCGTTAGTTTGTCTGTTGATTCCGTTGTACGATATGAAGCTGGACGTGTTTGATGCTCGTTAGTTTGCCTGTTGGTTCTGTTGTACGATATGAAGCTGGACGTGTTTGATGATCGTTAGTTTGTCTGTTGGGTCCGTTGCACGATATGAAGCTGGACGTGTTTGATGCTCGTTAGTTTGCATGTTGGATCCGTTGTGTGATATGTAGCTGGACGTGTTTGATGATCGTTAGTTTGTCTGTTGGTTCTGTTGTACGATATGAAGCTGGACGTGTTTGATGCTCGTTAGTTTGCCTGTTGGTTCTGTTGTACGATATGTAGCTGGACGTGTTTGATGATCGTTAGTTTGTCTGTTGGATCCGTTGTACGATATGAAGCTGGACGTGTTTGATGCTCGTTAGTTTCCATGTTGGATCCGTTGTGTGATATGAAGCTGGACGTGTTTGATGAGCGTTAGTTTGCATTTTGGATCCGTTGTGTGATATGTAGCTGGACGTGTTTGATGAGCGTTAGTTTGCATGTTGGATCCGTTGTGTGATATGTAGCTGGACGTGTTTGATGAGCGTTAGTTTGCATGTTGGATCCGTTGTGTGATATGAAGCTGGACGTGTTTGATGAGCGTTAGTTTGCATGTTGGATCCGTTGTGTGATATGTAGCTGGACGTGTTTGATGAGCGTTAGTTTCCATGTTGGATCCGTTGTGTGATATGAAGCTGGACGTGTTTGATGAGCGTTAGTTTGCATGTTGGATCCGTTGTGTGATATGTAGCTGGACGTGTTTGATGAGCGTTAGTTTCCATGTTGGATCCGTTGTGTGATATGAAGCTGGACGTGTTTGATGAGCGTTAGTTTGCATGTTGGATCCGTTGTCGTGTAACTTGCTATCATTTGAGTACTTGACATTACTTACTTGTATTGACCAGGGTTTGCATAGCAGATTACGTCGATGAAGCAGAAGACGCCTACTCAGTTTACTCTTCTTGTACTTTTTCAGAAGTGTTAATTGTTGACATTGCATTCCTTTGCTTTGCCTTTGTCTTACTCTAAGTTTGAATTTTGATTCTGTATTTTCTTGTATTTGCTTTAGATACGTTTCATTTTTATATCAAATATGTTTGTTTGACATGAAAAAATATTTAGTGACAGAAAGCCATCCCAGACATTTGAGTATGAATTATGTGGTGTATATTTTTGATAAAGTTATTATTTTGATTAAACTGTGTTTACAACCTTTGTTATTTTTCTAAACAGTCACACACAGACATACGTTTTACATTACTCACAATACGTATAAACATCTACGTTAAATTCTGACGCAAGTTGGCCCAACCAAATCCTAACAAAATAAATAGTCGTAAGGTTCTTATGACGTGTGTATGTATGTTTACATTAATATTGTAATCTCCTCTTAGTTGATATGTAAGTGTTCTGGTAGTATATTGTTTCTTTGATGGAGGTCTGATGGTTTAGTGTTTGATCAAATGACTTCGTCAATCATAGCGGGAAATACTTGTCCTTTGAGATATATACAGAGTTACTGTTCTTGGCGAGTGAACAGTTTCTTGTGCATGAAAGCCCGAGTTTGTTGAGTTTTCCGTCCGTTGTTCGCTATCGATAAAAATTAACTCTATTACTTTCGGCGAATTATAGTTGAAGTATTCATGAAAATGTACAATTAATTTCTAATTTAAAAGCAAATGGAATTTCACCGTCAAAAAAGGTTATCGTGAAGTCAGGAGATAGTCGATGACTGTATACCGAGAGTACGCCATGCAGGGGTTCCCCTGGTTTCGCGTTTATAACTTTTCTTTTTCTCAGCCAATCGCATATTACTTTTAAAATGACGTAGGACGATTTATCCATCATCTTATTATACCAACCAATGAAATCGCTTGAATAAAGCAAATGTCGTCATTTCGATCTAATTTAGTGTCGGGAAATTCCAAAGGGAATTTCTTACCCCGGTAATTGTCACGACAAATCCAGCGCTTCGCATGCTAAAATATGAGCGCATATGAGTTTTGAATAATTTCTTGATATAAAAACAGTACACTTACTTCACAATAAACGAGAAAGAACTTACGAATAACATGAAACTGTGTCTCCGTCCGGGCGACGAATTCGGCTTGTTGTAGTCAAGAAC